ATATTATTCAAAAAAAAGTGCCCTAAAAAAGTCCTCTATATCCCCAAACCTGGGGAAAATTTGTTTAAAAAAATTTTGTACCAAAATTGCCCCCCCCCCCCGAGTTCACAAGCTTAAGGCTGAGTGAGAGAAGAGGTCCAAAGCCCAAACAAAAACCAAATGGAAGAAGCATTTCGCATTTCTGGCATCTGGAGACCCCCGGGGCTGACGTGGGCTCTTAAGTCCCATCAGTTGCATAATATCTTATGCGTGCGTAGAAAGGAAGAGAGGGGGTCTTAACAATCCGAGATATAGGAAGGCCATGTTACTGGTGGACTTTACATTCTGGTCCTTTCAATCAATTGTATGTGGTTGGGGGGGGGCAATCTTCCTGGAGCTATTCGCAATAGGTGACTCAGACGTCACGGGGGTGAGTAGGGCCCCACAATGATAAGCATCGATTCCCGCCCGAAAGATGGGGGGGGCATCTTTCGCAGTTTGCGGGCGAGAGAAAGGGAGGATTCACCCCGCTTCTTCCTGCTAGCAGCGCCACAGATCTCGGGCGCACGAGGGTCCCCCCTCACCTCAGTCACCCGAAATATCTCCGCCCCACTCCCGCTCACCCCTTAGACTGAGAGTGGACTTTTCTCCTCTTCAGGCGTATGCGATGCAACCAGCCGGAAGGCGAGAAGGTGGCCGCGAAAACGCTGCTGCCGTGGCGACGGCTGACTTGGGCAAGATGGTAGCAGCGACGGCTTCCTCCTTTGCACTTGCGCCCCTTCCTTTAAAAAAAGTCTGCTTTTGAAGAGGAAAGGGTAGGGAACGACGTCTGGCCTCGCTAAAACTCTTTTAAACCCGATAACGAAGTCGGCGTTACTTTGCTGGGTTTGAAGTAAAGAATTTGCCAATGGGAACGGCGCATGCCGGGCGCATCAGGACCCCACCAATATAGGCGGAAGCCTAATTTCCCGCTACATCGCTGAGAGGGTGGAGTTTCAAGACCAGGAAATTAGACTCGGTCTGAGCTCCACGGGTTTAGACTAGTTTTCTTTTCCGGAGAAACCTAGTTCATCGCGGCCGGACCGGGGTCCTCCGATCAATTAATCGCACGCGGTCGGTACCGAGCGTTTCGTACCGCGGCTGCTTCGACTGAACTCGGAGAAAGGACTTGGAGTTTCGGTGCGTAATATCGCTTCGCCGTAGCTGCCCCTTTTAGATCCCAACGCTAGCGAATTTTTCAGGAACCGGAGTCGAGCCATCAAGAGAGTTTGGGTGTCTTACTGAGAAGCGAAGAGAGGGGCTCCGCTTTCCTGGACCTCGCTGTTTGCGTCTTTCCTTTTCCAGCCATCACCCCTTCCCCCCACCACGCGCCCTCGGAAGCGAACAAGTGCGCAAAAGTTGAAAAGTTGTTGAAAAGTTCAGGTTGTAGAAAATACGCACGGAGAGCAGTTAAATCGAGCGCGTTGGGGGGCTGGGGGGAAGCAGCAGGGGCAGAAAGTTCGTAAAATGGCAATGGAGTTTGCTGAGAAGAAAAGGGAGTGGCTGGTCTGATTTAAAGGGGGGGGGGGGTTATCTAGAAGTTATTCCGCAAACACCTGGGCTTATAAAGCGTGTGAGGGGCCCTTCCTGGCCTACCATTAGCAGTTAATGAATAAGGTGACCGTTTTAATTGGTCCAAGCTGCAAACGCTTGCCCCAAAATGAAGGCATGAACTCATATCCTTTTAGGTGATGGGTGCCTGTTGTCAGTGCCAGCATCCTCTTAAAAGTTTTGTTCTCTTTACGTGGACAAGTTCAAATAGATTTAGTGGGGTTTTTTTGTTACCCCAGCAGCTGCCTTGTCCTCATTGCTCAGAGGAATGTGATTATGAAAATTATGAAAATGAGTGCTGTTTTTAAAAACTAGATGGTCCGGAAGTCTGGAAAGCACCAAAGGAAGTGTGTAAGGCAGTGATGAGATCCCATCATTTTCCCCTACTCTGCTGGGTGCGACAGAGAGAGACGCGCTTTCCACTCCTCATCGA